TTCACGGCGTAGTGTGTTACCAATTGTTTTCTTAGTGACTATGGTCCCAGCTGCCTTGAGATCATTGACAAGATCCTCCCGTGTAGTTCTGGGCTGATTCCTCACCGTTCTCATGATCATTGCAACTCCACGAGGTGAGATCTTGCATGGAGCCCCAGGCTGAGGGAGATTTACAGTTATTTTGTGTTCCATTTGAGAATAATCGCACCAACTGTTGTCACCTTCTCACCAAGCTGCTTGGCGATGGTCTTGTAGCCCATTCCAGCCTTGTGTAGGTCTACAATCTTGTCCCTGACATCCTTGGAGAGCTCTTTGGTCTTGGCCATGGTGGAGAGTTTGGAATCTGATTGATTGCTTCTGTGGACAGGTGTCTTTTATACGGGTAACAAGCTGAGATTAGGAGCACTCCCTTTAAGAGTGTGCTCCTAATCTCAGCTCGTTACCTGTATAAAAGACACCTGGGAGCCAGAAATCTTTCTGATTGAGAGGGGGTCAAATACTTATTTCCCTCATTAAAATGCAAATCAATTTATAACATTTTTGACATTCGTTTTTCTGGATTTTTTTGTTGTTATTCTGTCTCTCACTGTTCAAATAAAACTACCATTAAAATTATAGACTGATAATTTCTTTGTCAGTGGGCAAACGTACAAAATCAGCAGGGGATCAAATACTTTTTTCCCCTCACTGTACCAATTGAGAGGATCGAGTCTGTCTAGAAATTTGTCTGAATCTTCTCAAGGGGGCAGTAGCCAGTCAGTCTGTGCTTGCGCATGCAGGTGACACGGCGCAAGCCACTTTTGAAAAGCAAGCGAGAGGAGAGAGAAAATGCCGACAGTATGGCTTCTTCTAACAAAAACATCATACCTCCACGCCCGCAGCTTGTTGGCAAAACTGGCTGCAGATGCAAACTATGGGAATACTTTGATTACAGAGCAGATGATGAGGGACAGCCCACCAAAACAACTAAGCAAAAACAACTAAGCAAAAGGTGTTACAAAGCAGTGCAGTGCAAGGGAGGTTTAGTTCCAAAATGACCAAAAACTGTTTTACACATGACATTTGCATTGTAACGTTATTTTATTAGCAACTCAATTTGAATTAGTTTTAAGTGACAATAACATGAACAATTATTCAGCATGACATTCATGTGAGCGTAAAAATATGATTACAACCCAAAAGTAATGGGAAATGCACTCACATATCTATGACAGCAATATACACTAAGTGTACAAAACATTAAGAACTTCCATGCTCTTTCCATGACATAGACTGACCAGGTGAAACCAGGTGAAAGCTATGATCCCTTATTGATGTAACTTGTTAAATCCTTGAGCCTTGAGACAATTGAGACATGGATTGTCTATGTGTGCCATTCAGAGGGTGAATGGGCAAGACAAAATACACTGCTCAAAAAAATTAAGGGAACACTAAAATAACACATCCTAGATCTGAATGAATGAAATATTCTTATTAAATACTTTTTTCTTTACATAGTTGAATGTGCTGACAACAAAATCACACAAAATGTTTCAATGGAAATCAAATTTATCAACCCATGGAGGTCTGGATTTGGAGTCACCCTCAAAATTAAAGTGGAAAACCACACTACAGGCTGATCCAACTTTGATGCAATGTCCTTAAAACAAGTCAAAATGAGGCTCACGTCCTGCACGGTGTTGGGCTGTAAGCACAACCCCCACCTGTGGACGTCGGGCCCTCATACCACCCTCATGGAGTCTGTTTCTGACCGTTTGAGCAGACACATGCACATTTGTGGCCTGCTGGAGGTCATTTTGCAGGGCTCTGGCAGTGCTCCTCCTGCTCCTCCTTGCACAAAGGCGGAGGTAGCAGTCCTGTTGCTGGGTTGTTGCCCTCCTACGGCCTCCTCCACGTCTCCTGATGTACTGGCCTGTCTCCTGGTAGCGCCTCCATGCTCTGGACACTACGCTGACAGACACAGCAAACCTTCTTGCCACAGCTCGCATTGATGTGCCATCCTGGATGAGCTGCACTACCTGAGCCATTTGTGTGGGTTGTAGACTCCGTCTCATGCTACCACTAGAGTGAAAGCACCGCCAACATTCAAAACTGACCAAAACATCAGCCAGGAAGCATAGGAACTGAGAAGTGGTCTGTGGTCACCACCTGCAAAACCAGTCCTTTATTGGGGGTGTCTTGCTAATTGCCTATAATTTCCACCTGTTGTCTATTCCATTTGCACAACAGCATGTGAAATTTATTGTCAATCAGTGTTGCTTCCTAAGTGGACAGTTTGATTTCACAGAAGTGTGATTGACTTGGAGTTACATTGTGTTGTTTAAGTGTTCCCTTTATTTTTTTGAGCAGTGTATTTAAGTGCCTTTGAACAGAGTATGGTAGTAGCTGCCAGGCACACCAGTTTGAGTGTGTCAAGAACTGCAACGCTGCTGGGTTTTTCATGTTCAATAGTTTCCCATGTATATCAAGAATGGTCCACCACTCAAAGGACATCCAGCCAACTTGACACAACTGTGGAAAGCATTGGAGTCAACATGGGCCAGCATCCCAGTGGAACGCTTTCGACACTTTGTAGAGTCCATGCCCCTACGAATTGAGGCTATTCTGAGTGCAAAAGATGGGGGTGCAACTCAAAATGTGTTGATGGTGTTCCTAATGTTTGGTACACTCAGTGTATTTAGACTACTTCACGTTTGTCTGGGCTTGCTAGCAGTAGCCACTAGCAGCCAGTAGCCCTGGGTGGACCGTTGCACTCTGGGAGTTGAAATGCACTCTGGGAATAGTACAATGCTGTGTAAAATCCATTGTGTTTCTATGATGTGTAGAGACTATTGCAATTATAGAAACTTCAGAAATTAGCTTGAAAGTGTTTTTTTATGTAGTTTTGGAACTAATCTATTAATCTAATACATTAAATTATTTAGCTGTAATGAATAATGAATCATAGGTCCAATGAATATAGTTTTGGTATCAAGTATGGTGATACTAAACCTGGTATTGGTATCGATGTCAAAATTCTGGTATCGTAACAACACTAGCAGGCTCACGGCTTGCTAGGGCATTGTGGGCGGGGATTGTGGATGAGCCTAAGCCACGAGCTCCGGCTCTGAGGGTTCAATCCCAGTGGTAGGTACTTGTTTTAAATGTTGGGGTTTTAACCTATACCAAACCTTAACCCTCAACTTAACCAATCGTAATTATTGCCTAAACTTAACCCCCCCGCCCCCCCCGGACAAACTTTGATATCTTGTTGCACACACATACACACATACACACATACAACATACACACATACACACATACACACATACACACATAAACACAGACACACACACACACAAAGAAAACGTCTTGAAAGTAACGAGATGTAAGAGAAGTTGAAAAGTCACTATGTACTTATTATCTCTCTCTCCCTCTCGCTCTCTCCGACTCGCTCTCTCTCGCTCTCTTTCTCTTTCTCTCTCTCGCGCTCTCGGTTCTCTTTCCTCTCTCTCTTTTCTATTTTTCTCTTTCTCTGTTCTCGTTCTTTCCGTTCATGCTTTCTCGGGTGCTTAGGCTCTTTCTCTCTCCCTTCCTCTTTATTGCTCTCTTCGCTCTCTCTCTCTCTCGCTTTCTCTTTCTCTTTCTCTCTCTCTCTCTCGCTCTCTCTCTCTCTCGCTCCCGCTCTGTCTCTAGGGGACTGTTGGTGCTGCTGTTGCTGATACTGTGTGTGTGCTTCCATGTGGTCTGTGTGATGTACATTTACATCACAAGTGTTCAGGTAGGGAAGTCTGCCTAACTAGTGCTAGTCTACCTATTTGGTAACACTTTACTTGACACCCAGCGTCATAACGGTCATAACCATGTCATAATAGGTCATAACAGCTGACATAATATGGTCATAACACTGTAATGACACATATATTTAGACCATTATTTTATGGTTGGTTATGACATCTACATAAGAGTGTCAAAACCCACAAAACCTACTACACAAGGCAAAACATTCCATTCCGCGTCAATAGTATGTTTACGTTATATATATATTTTTGAAATTGACCATGTTAAATTATCATTGTAATTGTGCACACACTGATGTCAGACATGCAACTTCCCCAATGCTCTGTTGCTAATGACTGGGGTGAATGCAGGAGCAGATTTCAGGAGCAGGACAGCCTCTTTTTGACTGATGACTGATATAAGAGCATGTACGTGATTAGCCTATCAGGCTTAAAAGCTCATTTGAATATATATATATATATATATATATATATATATATATATATATATTCATGTAGGTGTCATAACCAGCCATAAAATAACGCAATATATGTCAAAACAGGTTTACATATATGGGTCATGACAGTGTTATGACCATATTATGACAGGTTATGACAAGTTGTGTCAGCTGTTATGACATATTATGACATGGTTATGACCGTTTATGACACTGGGTGTCAGGTAAAGTGTTACCAGCTATTCTCCCTAGTGTTGTGCTCTATCCTATGACATGTCCCAAATGGCACTCTGTTCTCTATAGGTAGGGCCCTGTGTTTTGCCCATTGTTTCACATGACCACGATTTTTTACCTTTATTCTATTAAGCCTTTTCCAGAAATGAGAATTAGACCAAAAATGAAAGCAGTTGTTTGAGGATGGAGCTGGACCTTCTGACATAAAAAGAGAAGGGGACAGTTGGCTTGAACTAAATGTTAAAATCCAGGTCATGATTAACCAAAAGACAGGGCCCTACCGATAGGCCCTGCTCAAAAGTAGTGCACTAAATAGGGAATAGTCTACCGCTCCTCCTCTATAGCAGTGTAGTGCCTGTGGAGTGGACTTACTGTCCGTCCCCCTCCATTCATTTCCCCCCTCTCATAGAGAGACTCATTCTCTTTTCAGACTCTGTTGTCTTTTCCACTCCTCAGTAATGACAAGATGCATAAAACTATAATTGAGATAAACTGGTACTTCAACTCCTCTTTCTCTCTCTCCCTCTCCTCGCTTTAGTGTTTTCCAGGGTGTCTCACCATTCAGATCCGAACTGTGCTCTGTGTGTTTCTAGTCCTGCTGACCTACTCTGTCACCCAAGCCTGTGTGGTAAGTGTGTGTGTTTAGAAGTCATCATGTCCGTTTGAAATCTGGCAACTCTAGGGCATGCTTTAAAACTCAGGTTAGCTCCACTGTTAGACTGACATACAAGAGCTCCCTTCCCCGCATATCCTCTCCCTCTCTTTTTAAACCTCCCCCTTCCCCTTTACCCCTCACCCTTTTCCGACCTCCTCCAGGTGAGCTGCTTACCCTGGGTCTGGATGATGGGAGGTAACTCCAGTAGCAGCTCCGTGGAGACTGTTTCCATGGATACGCCGGGCGAGCCACGGCTGGGGCCAGTGAATGGTACGGTAGCGGAGGGGGTGTGTCCGAGCGTTTCCTATGCTCTCCTCTCCTGCGTGGCCGGAACTCTTACCGTTGTCCCTTACCTCCGCGTCTCCTCGTTACCCAAGATCCTCCTGCTCTTCCTTCTCTCGGTCCTCTACACCATCGCCATGGAGACCAGCGGGTACCGCATCGCCGTGGGGTAAGGGGGAGGGAGGCGAAGGCGTGAGGGAGTGAGAGGAGTATGGTTCAATATAGGTAGGGTATGCTTTATTGGTAAGTGTGGTAAGTGTGTGTGTGTGTGTTTTAATGCAGTGTGTGTGTGTGTGTGTAGGGGAGGTTTGCTCCACCCTCGGGGGTATGATCCTGTGCTGGGTCTCCTGTTGTTTGCTGTAGCTCTGGCTCTACACTGTAGACAACTGGACCTCAAACTACGTCTAGACTACCTGTGGGCCACTCAGGTGAGTGTTTATGTGTGTGTATGTGTGTGTTTGTGAGTCATTACCCCCCTCTAGTGATGAGGAAAAGCTATTACAGCTGAAAGAGACTCACTGAGAAGTACTTTCTGAACTGAAAACCAATTAAAGGACTATCACTCTTTCATTCTGTCTGTATCCAGGTGTGTTGGTTATTTGTTGGTTGATTCTTAGCAGAAACCCAAATGGCACCCTATCCCTATGTAGTGCACAATTTTTGACCAGAGCCCTATAAGGAATAGGTTGCCAGACTATACTAATACATGTATTGCATCAGAGTGATAGAGATGTGCGGCTACCTTGTTTTTGTTTCCATGTATTTTGTGCAGGCAGAGGAGGAGAGAGGCGACATGGAGAAAGTCAAGCTGGACAACAAGAGGATCCTGTTCAATCTCCTACCTGCACACGTAGCTCAGCACTTCCTCATGTCCAACCCCCGCAACATGGTGAGTCACACCCACGTCCCACCTGTGCCTCGTCCCCCTTTCCCCCCTGTCCCCCTGTCCCCATGCATCTCGTCCCCCTGTCCCCCTGTCCCCCTGTCCCCCTGTCCCCCCATCACCCCGTCCCCCATGCATCTCGTCCCCCTGTCCCCCTGTCCCCATGTCCCCCATCACCCCGTCCCCCATGCATCTCGTCCCCTGTCCCCCTGTCCCCCCATCACCCCGTCCCCCATGCATCTCGTCCCCCTGTCCCTCTGTCCCCCTTGTCCCCCCATCACCCCGTCCCCCATGCATCTCGTCCCCTGTCCCCCTGTCCCCCCATCACCCCGTCACCCTGCATCTCGTCCCCCTGTCCCCGCCGTTCCCCGCTAGGTCTTCTCCCCGTCATGTTTGGGTAGCGGTGCACTGGAGGAGCTGGTGCGATCAGGTCGTTTTGAGGTCATGTTTGGGTTGAAGTGTGATCTGACCGCATCATGCGTGGTCATGTTTTGATGTTGCCCGAGAACTTTTGAACAGTAAATGTTAAGAATTTCTTCTTTGACCTCCAAGGTTGTATGGTTGTTGCGGTTTGGTTGCAGTTTGGTTGTGATTTGGTTGCGGTCGTGGTTGATATTTGTTTGAGATTTGATTGTGGTTTAGTTGTGGTTGTGGTTGATGTTTGGTTGTGGTTTGGTTACGGTTTGGAAGTGGTTTGGTTGAGGTGTGATATGATGTGGTCCTCTGTAGCTCAGCTGGTAGAGCACGGCGCTTGTAACGCCAGGGTAGTGGGTTCGATCCCCGGGACCACCCATACACCAAAAAAATTATGCACGCATGACTGTAAGTCGCTTTGGATAAAAGCGTCTGCTAAATGGCATATTATTATTATCTGACAGGTTCTCCGTTGCTGTGTCCACTGATTGATCAATATCCGTTCTACTGATGTCTGTTCCTCTCCCAGGCCCCTCACCCTCTCCCCTCTCAGGAACAGGAAGTGCTTAAATCAAACATCCTGTAGACTTCCCAACCAGGACATGTGTATTCCCGTCACGAGGATAGGATTGTTTTGTAAACAGTGGAACCAGGAAGTGACCCTGGGACAGTTGTTACAGAGGTGGTATAACAGGTCCTAGAGCAAGGGAGAGAGATGACAGTTTTTACATAGGGTTTAACAGTACAGTTCCTACAGCGCCCTGGCATATTGGTACAGTGCATTGATTGACATAGGGATACCGGGAACAGTGGTGACCCTTAAACCCTGGAATGTTGTAGAATGGTTACAACATCTTGATCCCATGTATCCCTATGTCCATCAATGCACTGTACCAATATGCCAGGGCACTCTAGGACCTGTTCTGCCACCCCTGTAACAACTGTCCCAGGACCAGTGTAATAGCCCTATCTAGCTCTGGTTGCATGTCTACCTCTATTCTAGGACATGTACTGTTAACCCTCTGTCTGTAACAACTGTCCTAGGACCTGCTCATATCTGTGTATTAGCCCTATCTAACTTTTAGTTCCTTGTATCTGTTCTATGACATGTATTGTTAACCCAGGACCTGTTAATACCTGTGCAATAGCCCTATGTAAGTCTTGTTCCCTGTCTACCGAGCTGCCTGCCTGTTTTAGAACCTGTACTGTTATAACCATGTAACAACTGTCCCAGGACCTGTGTATGTAACCTGTGTATCTCCCTTTCTGCCTCTCTGATCTAGGACTGGTACCATTAACTCTGTAATAACTGTTCTTTCAGGGTGATGAACTTTTCCTTTAACCCTTTCTAAAAAATTGTCCCAGGACCTGTTAATACCTGTGTAATAGTCCTATCTAACGGCCAGGTTCCCTGTCTGAATCTATGTTAGGACCTGTACTACCAGTCGTATAGTCAGGTAGGAGTGCTGTTTGCCTCCATCGCTAATTTCAATGACTTCTACATCGAGCTGGACGGCAACAACATGGGAGTGGAGTGTCTCAGGCTGCTCAACGAGATCATTGCAGACTTTGACGAGGTGAGGCATCCCAAATGGCACCCTATTCCCTATACAGTGCACTGCTTTTGACCAGAGCCCTATCTAACCTTATTTATTTTATAGTCCACTACTTTTGACCAGAGTCCTATGGGCCCTGGTCAAATGTAGTGCATAGGGATGTGGCCCAACATCTCCTCTACTTTCACTTTCTACTGTTCCATGTGTACTGACAGTGTTGACATTAGCTGGTCAGAGATTAGAGTAGTGGCGTGATCATACAGTTCTGCTCTCTTCAGGGAGAGGAAGATATGAATGTGGGGAGGAGGTTGTTTTGGCTGAAAGTTGATAACAGGGTTTGGGTCAGTTTGAATTGAAGGCAGTCAATTCAGGAAAGAAACCTTACATTTTTTTCTAATTCCATACTTGCATTTTTTACATCTATTTTTAATGAATTTTCAATTAACCTAAAAAGAGAAGCTATGTATGTCTAAAGTTAGTTGATTTCTGGTTTTTAAAATCAAATCACTTCCTGAATTGACTGACTTCAATTCGAATGAACCCAACTCTGGTTTGTTATTTATAATGCTTACTAGTCACATCTCTCTAATAACTCCCTGTAAACCTACAGTATATATAATTATTTATCTATTTTCCTTTATCTCTCTCTCTCTCTCTCTCTCTCTCTCTCTCTCTCTCTCTCTCTGCCTATAGCTGATGGATAAAGAGTGCTATAAGGACATTGAGAAGATCAAAACTATCGGCAGCACATACATGGCTGCAGTAGGCCTGGTGCCTACCACTGGCTCCAAGGTACACTTAACTACAGTATAGCATACAGAGTGTGTGTGAAAATGTGGTGTGACCTCAATACAAACCGCTTCTGGAGACCCAAATCCAAGGGTCCTCAGATTCTATATATAAATATAGTGAGAGAGTGAGAGAGTGAGTGAGTGAGATCCTCTAAGGTGGACAAACAAAGCTTTCATTTTGAGACATAAATGCAAACTTTATGCAAACAACACTGTTCGTGAGCCGGCATTATTTTAAATCCTCATGATATGGGCTGCATTAGATAACTTCCTTCATAGCTGTACGGAATGTGCAACTTACAGTATGTGACCTGGGGATAAAAATGAGTGAGTGCCATTTTGTATTTATTTCTCTCTTCTTGTCTTGTGATTCCAAGGCTAAAAAGTCCACCTCCTCACACTTATGCACAGTGGCAGATTTTGCTGTTGAGATGTTTGATGTACTGGATGCCATCAACTACCAGTCTTACAACGACTTTGTCTTGAGAGTGGGTGAGTCAAAACACACACACACAGTTTTTTGTGAGAGTCAATGCGTAAAGTTGTGACCTTTGACACTAACTAGCTGTCCGTCAGCACCATCTCCTCTGTGTTCCATCGGTCCGTTCAAACGCGTCACTGAAAGAGCCTTGTGACAGGAAGCGTGTTACAGAGAGACCTGAGGGGTTGTCACTAGTTACCACATTAAAAGAATTACATTAATTTGAGGGTAGGGTTAGGCATAAGTTTAGCAGTGTGGTTAAGGTTAGGGTTACGGTTAGGCTTAGGTTCAAAATCAGATTTTAAGAAGATAAATTGTGGAAATAGGCAGGGTTAAACCATAATTATGACTTTGTGTTTGTGGTAACGAGTATTCCATACTGTCTGCAGACTCTGTGTGTGTGTGTGTGTGTGTGCGTGTGCATGTGCATGTGTGTGACTGCAGAAACTTGGCGTTGTAGATTTGTGTGAACCACAGTGAGGATCATACTGATATGTATTATGTATGTATTTTCATTGTGCGTGTATGTGTGTGTGTGTGTGTGTGTGTGTGTGTGTGTGTGTGTAGGTATTAACGTGGGTCCAGTGGTAGCAGGAGTGATTGGAGCGCGGAGGCCTCAGTATGATATCTGGGGGAACACAGTCAACGTGGCCAGCAGGATGGACACCACCGGACTACCGGGCAAGATACAGGTACAGCACCCCAAACACACACAAATGTACAGACACACACAGACGCACACAGATTCACGCACACAGACGCACACAGATACACAGACGGACACACACGCACACAGACGCACACACACACTCTCAGTCACGCACGCACGCACGCACACACGCACACACACACACACACACACACACACACACACACACACACACACACACACACACACACACATAATATGCAGGTGATCATTCAGTTGTTGTTTGTTACCATGTGTCCTACATTACCCACAGGTGACAGAAGATGTGCAGCGCATCATCAAGGGTCACTATGACTTTGTGTGTCGCGGCAAAGTCAGCGTCAAGGGCAAAGGACAGATGCTCACCTACTTCCTGGAGGGGCGGATCCCCGGCAGGGGGTCACAGCACCAGCCCAGGAACCTGGATCGTTCCCGGACAAGTCCGTTCAACCGTTCAACCATTAGCAACATCTGCACCAAACTGAGCCCTGCCCCCAACGTGACCCCCTATGCCACGATGCGAAACCTCACCCCCGGCACGGCCTCTGCAGCAACCACCTCCACCAACAGCACCATCCTCTACCTGCCCTCTGTGGCTGTTCCCACGGCGATGAGGGTGTGAGTGAGTGGCTGACATGGAGACTGACTCCATAGTGACCAAGGAATCCTCCTTGACAGATAGAGAGTAGAGATCAAGAGAGAGATAGAGTGGAGCAGATAGAAAGGGACTGAAAGTGAGATGAGAGTAGAGATCAAGAGAGAGATAGAGTGGAGCAGATAGAAAGGGACTGAAAGTGAGAGTGAAATAGGGATGAGAAAGAAGAAGCGGGTTCCACTTTACTGGACTTTCACTAGGTCCCCCTCTCAGAGAGAATGTGGTTCCACGGTACAGACAGACAGAGAAATAGTCCTGGACCCAGTCCTTTCTCTCTCTGTGAGGAGATGGAACTCAAGGATTTTGGTGACTGGCCAGCCGGGCTAGCAGACCACAATTTCTTCTAGTCAAAGATCAAAAATCTGTACCATGCAAATTTCACTCGCATTACATTGTTTTCATCTTACTTTACCTAGAAATTCCTTTCTCCTTAGGAACCAGGCCGGGCTGCTTACCAACCAGGCCGGCACGTAGCGAACCGAACCAGGCCGGGACCACCGAACCGAACCAGGCCGTAACCGGACCGGACCTAACCATTCGCGACCGGGCCGAACCATGGCACAACACCGGACAACACCGAACCAGGAAGGACCGGACCGGACCACCGGAACGCCGGACCGACCGACCGATAGACCGGACGGACCGGATAACCGGAAACGGACCGGAACGACCGCACCTACCGGACCAACCGAAGAAACACCGAAGAGGCAAATGAAACCTTACCGAACCATACCAAACCGGAAACCGGACACTCGACCGACCACCGATGAGCAGACACCGAACCGGACGGCCGAGGCACGTGACGGGGAACGGGCCGGCCATCAGGGATTTACCGTCCTTCCGGGCCGGCCTGCCTGGTTCCTGTCCCTGACCGTGACCGACCTTACGTACGGACGGAACTTACCTTGTCATTCCTTCACCTTACCTTACCTTACCTAACTATTCATTCACCTTACCTTATCTTACCTAACCATTCCTTTACCTTACCTTACCTAACCTAACCATTCCTTTACCTTTCCTAACCTAAACTGTCCTTCACTTCACCTTAGGTTGACCCTTCTATCCATCTTATTATGGTTGCAAAATTCCAGTAACTTTCCCAAAATGCACAGGTTTTTCAGAAATCCCGGTTGGAAGATACCTGGAATTAGGAATGAATAAGATGGAAATCCAGGAATCCTACAAACAGGATTTCCGGAAAACCTGCGATTTTGGGGAAAGTTACCAGAATTGTGCAACCCTACCTCTTATGCATCTTATATCAGAGCTGTTGCCTTACCGACCGACCATTCTACAGGCAGAGTTTACTGAAAGTGTTATAATTCTATCGCCTTTCAGATAGATGTAGATTTTATCTAAGCATGTAGATTTCATCCCTTTTCTATATCAATGTAATTCTGCCAAGAATGTCTGTCACAGACTAGACCATATTCCGTTTCCTGGACCATATTCCTCCAATACAAACTGCCAGACCACATTGTCTATTGCAAAGTGAAGTAGTCTTTATTACAGCTTTTTAAATGTACAAAACTTTGAATTTAAGAAGGACAGCTATTATCTTAGAGATGGGGCATTGCCTTGTATCAGTTGGGGTTCAGCATTGGCCAACAGTATTGTTGGACGCATGATGACACCTTCCGCTGCATTGGAGTCCAGTTTGCTGTGTGTTTATATTAAAGTGGATAAATGATGCTTATAACTTCCAGAATCTTCCTTCTGTCATTCCAGTAAATTCCAGTAAATGTGTAGCAATAAAACAGTGTGTGTTCTTCTGAAACAGAATGTCCCCTGCCCTGTCCTGCTTGCAGTAGCAGTGTTGCCAACAGTTTTTCAGTGAGATTCACTATTGGCTCCTTGATTTGTTGCTAGAAGTCCTTAGATTACGTTTTGCCGTGAGGTCAGCTGGTTCAGTCGCCCAACTCTGATTGGATAGTGCTGTTAGAGCATCCTGATTGGATAGATGTTTATTGTAAGAGCATCCTGATTGGATAGATGTTTATTCATTGTAAGAGCATCCTGATTCGATCGCTGTTTATTGTAAGAGCATCCTGATTGGATGGTGCTGTTAAAGAGCATCCTGATTGGATAGTGCTGTTTAAGAGCATCCTGATTGGACCGTGATGTTAACTGTAAGAGCATCCTGATTCCTGACTGGATTGTGCTGTTAACTGGATCATCCTGATTGGATACTGCTGTTAACAGCAAGAGCATCCTAACTGGATAGTGCTGTTAACTGCAAGAGCATCCTGAATGGATAGTGCTCTTAACTTGTAAGAGCATGCATTGCCGTGACAAAAAATAAGTATGTATTTCTGTGCAAAAAAAGAAAAGCATGTTACAGAGAGTTATTTTTTTGTGTTGAGTGTGGTGAGGTTACAATTCTTTGGTGGTTTAAAACATTACGTTTTTGCCTGCTTGTTTATTGAGTGATATTTTCAATGACAAAAATACCATGTTCAAGGTGTTTAACTTCTATTTTTATCAAACATTTATTGAGACCTGTGGTTTTGAAGCAGGAAGGGGAGTACAATTCTCTCACTGAAGAGCAACCATCCTCCTTCATATTCTCTCCCCGTTTCATGCAGAGCCAAATTATTTATATCATGGCACTGTATGTCTCTTATGGGCCACCGTAGCCAGTTACTTTGAAGGCCTCTCCTCTCGGCCTGCTATGCATCTTGTCTGTATGAGGTAAAGACACAACGACACAAACAGACCAACATACACAACAGACACACTACATTCCTCTCTACTATAGTCCTCTTGCATGTGAAAACTAAGCCAAGGAAAGCAGTGCTCTTGAATATATGCTGCTTTTGAACCTGTGACTGTTTTGGGGCGTTGTGCTGTGGTGTGGTCGTACGATCTTCAATTTGATGTTTGCGGTAGTTGAACAAACGTCTGAAATCGACTTCAGTTTGTGAGTCATGTTGGACCTAACTGTGACATTGCAGGATGGTAGGAGGCCGGGAGTTGGTGGGGGGGGGGATCTACTCTGTGGTCATAATGATATGGATTAGGTGATGTATCAATGGCCAACCTATTGTCGTAAACATATTATACATATCGTCTCCGTCCCAAATGGTACTCTATTCCCTATATATTGCACTACTTTTGACCAAAATTAGTGCACTATATAGGGAATAGGGTGGCATTTGGGAAGCTCCCATCCTGTGTTCATCAGTAGCACACAGACCTGTGGCTATGGGGTTTCACTGACTGTATTTTTACTGTTTCCATTTGTCATTTGTTTAAAGGGGATCTCAGTGCTTTTGTAACTCAAGAGAAACTTTATTGGAACACTGTAGCACGATCAACAATCACCATATTTTATTAAGACTGAAGTGATTCTGCCTATCATATCATATCAACCAGAAAGTCTCAAACTCTTCATCGTTCTGTATCCGATTCAGATCAGATTCAATCTATCTCCATATCGTCATATCAGTTTCTGAGAGAAAAAAAAAGATTTTTATATACCTCTGCTTTGGACAGCCAGTAACATTGATGGACAAGGGTTCTATATTCTATATTTCCTGTGAATTAGATATTGATATTTTCATATATGATACGGGTTGAAATATTGTGATATGTTTAGGTATTACTCACTGTATATTGTATGTAGAGAGACATGACATACAAACCTGAATGATGGTTAAATATTTGTCCAATATTCCTTTTGTTAACAAAACAGTATTGGTTGATATGTTTTATGTGAATGTACATTTCTTATGGAGAAACTATTTTATACTATAAGTGTTTGCACTGCTATGATATTGACGTATTATTAAAAAATAATCAACGTAAGCTCTTGGTCAATCTCCTCGACCCTTTGTGTTTTTCCTGTGTGTGTGTGTCCATGTGTGTGAGGCAACCAGAGTAGTTGCGTATGGAGAGGTAACTAAATTCATAACGCATTAAAATGACATACCACTGGGCCCAGCAGAAGACAAAAACAAAAGGGATGTAAGGAGAGGGGGGCAACAGCACAACATGGGGTCAGGCTGTAGGTCATAGTGCGGCCTCTCTGTGGCTCTCTCTCTGTGTTGTGGTTGGTTGTGTTGTAACAGTGTATGGACGTCATGTGGGGTAGACACTGACAACATGACAGGAATCTTGTCCAGAGAAGACAGGAAATCTGTTGACACCAAGACATCACTGATCCCCATAATATTGAATCCTCTCAAGGGGAGAATGGCCAACAGATCTCGGAATATGGGTATAAAGAAAAAACACACAGACACATTCTCTCTCTCTCTCTCTCTCTCTCTCTCTCTCTCTCTCTCTCTCTCTCTCTCTCTCTCTCTCTCTCTCACACTCTCACACTCACACTCACACTCACACTCGTGAGGTTGAAAAAGTTTGGCATGGGCCCTCAAATCCTGAAAGGTTCTACAGCTGTAGCATTGAGAGCATATTGACTGGCTGCATCACTGCTTGGTACTGCAATCAGAAAAATAAAAGCAGTACAATAACAGTAAAAAAAACAGTAGCTAGGCTATATACAGGGGGTACCGGTACAGAGTCAATGTGCGGGGGCACCGGTTAGTCGAGGTAATTGAAGTAATATGAACATGTAGGTATAGTTAAAGTGACTATGCATAGATAATAAACAGAGAGTAGCAGTAGGGTAAAAGAGGAGGGGTGGGGGGGGGGGGGGGGGGGGGGGGGGTAGCCATTTGATTAGCTGTTCAGGAGTCTTATGGGGGTAGAAGCTGTTAAGAAGCATTTTTGCCGTGCGGTAGCAGAGAGAACAGTCTATGACTACGGTGGCTGGAGTCTTTGACAATTTTTAGGGCCTTCCTCTGACACCGCCTGGTATAGAGGTCCTCGATGGCAGGAAGCTTGGCCCCAGTGATGTACTGGGTACTGGGCCGTACGCACTACCCTCTGTAGTGCCTTGCGGTCGGAGGCCGAGCAGTTGCCATACCAGGCAGTGATGCAACCAGTCAGGATGCTCTCGA